ATTGAACAAATTTATAATAAAATAATTAAGAAAGAATTACATAAATACCGCTTAATTTCTATGTAATTATATGTGGCGTAAGGAAAAAGATTGAATAGATGTCATCTTATTTATACGAGAAAGGAGTGATACTTCATCAACAAATTTTCATCGTTTTGCATGAATATGAAGACGTGACAGGAATCTCGAGATATTTTTTAGGCAAGAAATGTTCAAACTGAAATTAAAAGTCATCCAAAACTCCAATTGAAAATATTTTTCTATTGAATGCTCTTTTGCTTAGTGGAAATGACAATACTAAACTGGTATCCACCATATGAATTTTTTAATGACCTTGACCACTTGACAAACTCTTCATCCTTGATGACCATCAGGATGTTGGCACATGATTTGTATTTTTTTTCTAATCGAGACTCACGATTCCCTTGTGGTCCAAATTTTTTTCTTTTTGAGATTTGATCAGTATCCCTGACATTATTCTTATGCTTGCCCCCTAATCGCTAAAATTGTTCCGTATGTGCACTGATGACCTCATCTGCATAGATTTGAGCTTTAACACGGTGGACAAGATCGACATAAGAGCGAACTGTTTCTTGCATCAGTAATGAGTAGAAGGGTCCTGGGCAGAGCCTTCCAAGAAACACTCCTCTCAGTAATTTTAGATCCATTATGGGAATCTGACGGACTTTAGTGGAGAATCTGCGAAAGTATTCCCTGAGAGATTCCCCCTCATTCTGGTGAACTCCAAATAAGTGGGATGAATATTTGATGATCATTCTATTTGTTATGAACTGCTCTACAAATAGTCTGACAAACTCATTGAAGGTGTCGATTGTGCCCCCGGGGATAGCTATGTTCAAGCTTGACCCTTGAGAGTAGTAGAGAAAACTTGACAGAGAAGCACATCAGAGGCACGATGAATGTGCATGATAGTTCATAGTGGTCGACGTGCTTGTGTAGGTCAGTTACCCCTTCATAGGCATAAATATTCGGGAGTTTGAAACCCATTGGGATAGAGTGTCAGAGAATCGCATCAGCCAAATGAGAAGATTTTTGGAAGTTGCGGAGAGCAGAAAATAAATCCCTTCTATTTGGAAGGAACTTTTTTTGAACTAGGCGTCGTAGCTCTCACAAATGATATTAGTAGAAGTGATAGTAAGGCGAGGCCAAGTGATATAAATGAGAAGGATGAGTGGAACTTGTCATGTCGAAGAAAGCATCGTCATGTCGCGACAGGGGAATGGTTTCTTCATCGAGAGAGAACCCAGTGAGTGGGGTATATCCTGTTGAATGCTGAATTGGTGTTAAGTAAGCTTCTTTGGGTTGTGGTTGTTGCTCCACGTGTAGGAGTTATAGAATATTTAGTTGATATGTCTTCATCTTGCGTACTTAGTTTTCCTTAGAAGGACTTGAGACACCTTCGTCAGTGGGATGACACCTTATAGAGTTAGAGAATGTAGAGGCATGACACTCTTGGCTCCTTGACTTCCTTTTGGAATGATGGGTGTTGGAGCGGCATGTTTCGCTGTTATGAGTGTTGTGCCTGATGACCATGTAGCAAGTCTAGCAAGTACTTTGGTGATGAGAATGCTCTGTTCCTACAAATGGCGCCAAACTTATGCGGGCTAGAAAATTCACAGTGGTAGAGTAATAAATTATCACCTTAGCATTACATGTGAATTCGGTACACACTCATATAAAGGAAAATAACTAGTATATACACTAGGAAACGGGGATTGATATGTGGATAAATTTGTTGCCAGGA